AAGGGTTTCCTCCGTTTCCCCAACGGGTAAGACCCCGGGAGCCCTTTTCCCTCTTTTTTTTTTTTTTTTTTTGGTCTACTTTTCGTTACGTTTTTGCTCCCCCTACTGGTAGGGTCAACTTATTACATAGGTTATAAAACACACACACACGGCTTTTGTAACTACTAGTCAGCTGGTGTTTGGTAACGAGTACTGGCGACAGAGAACGTAATGTTCGCCAGTTTAACACACTTTTACTTGCACTATACCGTCACTTTTCACATTTAAGATGCCTCACTCAGCCGCCGGTGACCAAGCTGCGGTGAGACAGATGTTGAGGGAGGTGCTGGTGGGACGAGAAGATCCGGAGGGCTTCTTCGCGATGTGTGTCTCCGTCCTGGGGCACCAAGAGACCCGCTCACAGTTTCTGTCCATCATCAAGCCACTGTCCACGGCCAACATCCGGCTGCACTCTGTCCTCAGTTCCATCTACCAGGAATATTTCTCAAAGGTCAGTGAAGAAAAAAAGACTACATTAAAAACGTGTGTCCACTTTTTAAATGGAAGCAGCTAATGGGTTATAATGTGGGTTTGAAAAGCAGCAATATAAAAGCAGTTACTCAAAAGCCACATAGTTAATAAATGGGTTGCAGTAATAATTAACCTCGGAGCAAAATAGCAACAGGTAAGTTTAAAACGTTCCAACTATAGTTTACAAATTTACAACTAAGTTACATCAAGCTGTTTTGTTAGTTTTTATCTTTGTCATCAATTTTGTTTCATAATTATTGCTATTCTTGCTAGCTAGAAAAAAGTTAACACTAATTGAGGCTTGTCAATAACACCTGTACAAAATGTTTTATTTTTTTTTCAAGTATTATTTCAACACAAAGCAGTGAATAATTGTGAAGTGTAAAGTAAGTTATGCATTATTTTTAAATAATAAAAATCTAAAAAGTGTGGCGTGTCTTTGTGTTCAGTCCTAATCAGTCAGTATGTTGTAGAACCTGTTTCATGGTATGTACATATCAAAAGGTTAATTCAGATTCTCCCATGAGGTGCATTTCATCATAAATAGCATCACACAGCTTACTTATTTTTGTGTTTAACTAAATGTGTGTATTGTGAAACTTTTCCATTACTTTATTTTATTTTTTTCTGTCAGCATCTATAGTCAGTTTTTCCTAAATTTTCTTTTGGAAATTTTTTTTTTTTCAGACGTCTCTGATCACTCTAAACATCTGTTGGATTTGACAGCACAATGTTCTGGGGTCAGAGGTCACCAACTACAGTTCTCAAGAGCTACTGCCCTGCAACTTTTAGATGTATCCCTGCTCCATGACATCTAAATCAAATGAATGTGTCGTTACCGGGCCTCTGCTGAACTTGATGGCATGCTGAAGAGACTTTTCAACCATTTTATTGAGCAGAGATGTATCTAAAAGTTGCAAGCAGTATCTCTTGAGGATTTGAGATGGGGACCCCTGTCGGGGTTGAATTTGGAACATGCCTAAATTAAAACCTGTTTGTGCTAAAATTGTTACTTTTAATTTGCTCAATTAAGGTACAGTGTATTTAGGACACTGTATCTGAGACTTTGAAGCCCAAAGTCTCCACATTTGGGCCTTAATGGCAGATATCATTCTTGATCAACACACCTGACTAATGATAGGCTCATTACCAGGCCTCCGGATAACTTGAGGAGGTATTTTAGTCACTTGAATTAACTGTGTCGGAACCATAAAACACCTACAACGTACATATCAGTGACCCTTAATGATCGGAGTCAAAAACTTCTGATGTAGTCCCTCAAAAAGAAAATTAGTTGTTTGTGCAAATATATTTGAAATCTTTTTGTTTTCATTAAAAACCCACATTCTTTTGTATTTTTTCTAGATGGAGGATGATGAGCTGGAGCTTGCTCTGGCTCTCTCGCTTCTGGAAATGAAGGATCAACAGATATCAACCCCTAACCAATTATCCCTGCACCCTGCAGGCGGCGGCAATGCAAGCAGCGTTCTACGTAATTCAAGCGCAAAGTCTCAGGGAAACAGTTGCACCCAACAAGAAGATGTACCTGGCAGAGAAAAGAGTGCCTTTGTGGCGCAGTCAATGTCCGGTAGTAAGGAAAACTTCAGAGAGAACCAAACTTATAAAAGTACACATGTTGAAGGTGTTAACAAATCACTTGGAACAAGCCAGGCTCTTTATGTTCCAGATACCTCTACCTCGTTTTCTATTCCAAACACAGCATCCATAAGTGGCCAAGTTATGAAGGAGGGAGATTTGAATCTATCAAAGAAACCGAGACGTTCTAAAAATAGGCGGCAACGGCGAAAAGCAGCTGCCCAGCAGATTGTAGGTTTAGCCCGTTCTCCATCAGCGCCACCACCTGTTTTACTTTGGTTCAGGCGAGACCTTAGACTCTGTGATAACCCTGCTCTTATCAGATGTCTTGAGCTGGGTGCACCTGTCATTCCTGTCTTTATTTGGAGTCCTGAGGAGGAGGAGGGTCCAGGGGTCACCGTTGCTATGGGGGGAGCTTGTAAGTTGCCCTAAGACTCAGACATTTTATTTGTAAAGCTTTCACGCAGCTGAAAGTTGATACAATCTTAATCTCCAATGTATTCACTGACTAAATGTCCTTTATTTAACAGGTAAATACTGGCTTCATCAGGCTTTGTCTTGCTTTTGTGCATCCCTGGAGCGGATTGGCAGTCATCTCGTCTTTCTCAACGCCAGTGGAGACGGGAACAAAGACGGATCTTCTCTGCATACGCTGAAAACATTAGTAAAGGAGACCGGGGCGCAAACTGTGATGGCTAATGCTTTGTACGAACCGTGGCTGAAGGAGAGGGATGATGTGGTCTTCTCAGCCCTGCACAAAGAAGGCGTTGAATGTAAAATGTTCCACTCGTACTGTCTCAGAGATCCGTTTTCTGTCAGCACAGAGGGTGTGGGGCTCAGAGGTTTGTACTGACAAAATTCACTTTATATTAAAGCTAAAATGAAATGTGAACATTTTGATCAGGTTGTTCTTTTTTCCTCTGTGATGTAGGCATAGGTTCAGTGTCTCATTTCATGAACTGCTGCAGACAAAACCCAGGAGCTTCTATAGGTGTTCCTCTGGACCCACCAGAGTCTCTTCCTTCACCTACCCGTTGGCCACAAGGTGTCCCATTGGATATGCTTGGCCTCGCACGCATGCCACGCAGGAAGGACGGCACGATTGTGAGCAGAGAAACTAAATAACTTAACAATTCAAAAATTAAAAAGCCTCTTTGCTCCTTCCTTGCCCAGTCTCTCCTTTTAGCTGGAATCTACGTCTTTGTAGCTTTACAAATGAGCCACAGTGCTTGCATTTGCAGATGATAAATTTAACTGCTGAGATTTTCAAAGGTTGGCACTTTTTTAAAATACTAAGCTGTCCTTCAAATCTGTATTGGTTTTTATGATGCTGTTTGAACACTAATGTATTCCAACAAACCTCTGAAACCTTATCAAACAGCTATGATGAATACACAGAGGACAACTCTCCTGATTTTAGTGACTTCAGAAGGCAGTAGTGGATTTTATCTGGAGGTATTATAGCAAAACGGGACTAAACACATGATACACATCACAATTTTAGATTTTATTTAGTTATTTCTGAAAAAAATGGAGAAGTCTGTTCCATTTTCCTACTGATTGAAAAAAAAATACCACTTAGTGTTGGTTTATCATCTAATATCTTAATGAAATACATTGAGGTTTGCAGTTGTAATGTGATGGTGGTGTCTTATTTTTGCCTGCAGATTGACTGGGCAGCAAACATTCGCAAGTCCTGGGACTTTAGTGAAGATGGCGCACATGCCCAACTGGAAGCCTTTCTTCATGATGGTGAGACGTCTCAGTGTCTATTAAACATAAATTGCATTGCAGTTTTACTTGGAAAGCCATTAAATAGTTGCGTATGTTTATTCCTTCAATTTCTAGGTGTGTATAGATATGAAAAAGAGTCAGGCAGGGCAGATGCTCCGAACACCAGCTGTCTGTCTCCCTACCTGCACTTCGGTCAGCTCAGTCCACGCTGGCTTCTATGGGATGCCAAAGGAGCCAAGTGTCGACCCCCAAAGTTCCAGCGGAAGCTGGCCTGGAGGGATTTGGCTTACTGGCAGCTAACACTGTTTCCTGATCTACCCTGGGAATCACTCAGACCTCCATACAAGGTTAAGATACACTGTTATATTAGCACATTATCAATGTATGTAATTCTTTGTATTAATTACAAAGAATTATACATTTTCTGTTACTTGCAGGCTTTACGTTGGAGCACTGATTGCCACCATCTAAAGGCTTGGCAGAAAGGTAAAACCGGCTACCCTCTGGTTGACGCAGCCATGAGGCAGCTGTGGCTGACAGGCTGGATGAACAACTACATGCGACATGTAGTGGCATCTTTTCTCATTGCGTATCTCCATCTGCCTTGGCAAGAGGGCTATCGCTGGTTCCAGGTAAGAATCTTGCAGGTACAAAAGCGTTTTCTTATTTTGGGAACTTGATTTGTAGCTTACAACTTTGTATCTAAAGGGCTATTTCATTGGTTTGTCATAAACTTGAACTGCATTTGATCAGCTCTGGTTTTATCTAAAATGCTTAATATTTAGAAATCTTCAAACCTCCAGAACTCAGCTTTAAGAAACTTTTATTCTCCCTACCTTTGACTGGGAGAAATATGTAAAACATTACAAAGTCAAACCTACCTAAAACTTACTGAACTGCATCAAGTATTTATTCATGTTCAGGACACCCTCGTGGACGCAGATGTTGCTATCGATGCTATGATGTGGCAGAACGGTGGTATGTGTGGCCTGGATCACTGGAACTTTGTGATGCATCCAGTTGATGCAGCAATGACCTGTGACCCATACGGCAGCTATGTCAGGAAATGGTGTCCTGAGCTTGCGGATTTGCCAGACGAGCTCATACACAAACCCTGGAAGTGTCCTGCATCCATGCTGCGGCGAGCAGGTGAGAAATTTATCAAATGTTTTCAGGTTCAACACCTTCTGATTCAGGGGCCCTAACTCACTTTCTGTACATCTGTTGCCTCTTAGGTGTGGTGTTTGGCCAGACGTATCCTGAACGAATAGTTACTAATCTAGAGGAGCAGAGGAGCAAATCTCTACAAGATGTGGCTCTGGTGCGCAAGCAGTTTCAACAGTATGTTGACAAGTGCTCAGGCTGTGATTTGGTGCCTTTGCCCAAACGCCTTGTATCTGAGGCTCTAGGTTTGTCTCACTGGGACGGGGCTGTGGTGACAGAGGGCAAAGAGTTCCTGCTGCCTGTCATCACCCGCATGGAATTTAAACACCAGCTGGAAGACCCGGACGCAGATGCTGCCTCAAACCCTTACAACGCTGTCCTGAAAGGATACGTGAGCCGCAAGAGGGACGAGACCATAGCGTTCCTAAATGAGACAGACTTTACAGCTAGTGTGATGTACGAGGGAGCACAGAGACAGGAGAGACTAGAGAGGGATTACCGCAGAATGGAGGGGCTCCCTCCGGCTCCTTCAAACCGCGGAAGGGCCAGAAGGACTCCAACAGCCAAGGACAAGTTCTCTGTCATACCCGGTGGCACCATCGCTTCAAGGAACTGAAGCGGAGATGAACATGAAATACTTCAAGGATCGAAGTTACAAAATTGTAATGTTAAAAAAAGTGCAAGTTAAGAAATGTACTTGTCTTGGTTGGGTTTTAAAACATTGCTGGTGTATTTTTTTAAAGTGAGCAGCTGTCTCCACAAGCAACTTCCATCCCTCTACATGCACACTACAATGTTGGTTCAGACAGCAGTGTACTTTATTGTATTGCAAATTCCTATATATACAGCGACTTGGAAAATTAAGTCTTCTTAAACTTTTTCCAATTTTTCTACATTATAACCACAATGTACTTCATTAGGATTTTATATAGCACATCAATACAATGTAGTGCACAACTATGAAGTCGAAGGAAACTGATGCATAGTCCTTGGATTTGGAAATTTAATCTCAAAGTAGTTACAATGAAGAGAGTCTGTGACCAATTTTTCTGAGGACCAATTTTTAGGTCTCCACACATTCTTAGTTGGATTTAGGTTTGAACTTTGACTGGGCCATTCAGACATGTATATGCTTTGATTGAATCCATTCCACTGCAGCGCATGCTGCTTTTATGGTTGTTGTTCTTGTAAATCTCAGGATATGTTTAGCTTCCCATAGCTTTTCTTCCTGGAAAACAGTGATTGCTTTTGGCTCCATTCACTTTCCCCATCAACTCTAACCAGTTTCCCTGTCCCTGCATCCGCAAAATGAAGATGCCACCACCATCCACCCTGAGGATGGGTGGATGGTGATGCCCAATATTACGTTTCAACCATGCATAATGTACATGTTGGCCAGAAAGTCCAGTTTCGGTGTCATCATCTTCTCCCACCTGGTGTCTCACCACTCTTCTACAAAGGTTGTATCTTTGAAATGTACAACCATTTTCCCACCTGACTTAAGGATCTCTGCTGCTCCATTAATGCTAATAAGAGCCTCTTTTGTTGCTTCCCTGTTCAATTCTGCTCCTACCTGGCCAGTCAGTTCAGGGGGATGGAGATGTCTGGATGGGTTTGATGGTGTGCCAGAGTGTGAACAATGCTCTGTAAAATCTTCCACATTCTCCTTAAGTATTCCAATTTGATATTTGTTCTTCATGATGTTATTTCTCTAACAAACCTCTCAGACCTTCTCAGAACAACGATATTTATACCAAGATTGAACACAGATGGACTCTATGTAGCATTTACACGACTATTGAAGGCAGATTGAATTTCATCTGGAAACACCCCCCAAAAATTGAATGTGCATCATTTCTCTTTCATTCTATAAATACCTGCTGCTTTGTGCGGATTCTTCGCAAAAAAATGTGATAAAATATTGAGAACTTGTTTCCTACCCCCATTGGTGGAAAAGCTGCATTTTGTTTTATCTAGCAAAGCTTCACTAAGCTATTATATAAAATCACATAATATAAACCTTTAACCAACAGATGCATCTCTTCCTAATGTGGCGTTAAAGCCTCAACAGTTTATTGTCTTACATGATGCTGGAAGCTGGATGTTTCTCTGTATGACCTGGTGCAGCCACGACGACAACCAAAGACGTACAAACTGCAAACCGATTTTGTTTTTAAGATACCGTCTGAAAGTTCGGAAGTAAAATTCACACAAACTGAACATGTAAGGAAATGTTTATTTTTCTATTACACAGGTCCCATATCCACAGTATCCACAAACCAAATTAATACCATAAAGACCAAAGTGCATTTTAAGTCTACGTATACAAAGGCTGAATTTCAGGTTTGACTGAAATGCTTGGAAGCTTTTTTTTAATGACTTGATTTCTTTTCGTCGGCTTAAAGATTGTGTAGCTGTAAGAAGTCAGGTTTTTTTTTAGTCAGTGCAGACTGAGAGGTCCCCTAAAGTCAGTCGTTTTCAGTAGGTAAAGACTTTCTAAAGTTCACATTTCTACAGCCCCGGCAGATCAACAGTACAGAGCTGCAAACCTTTGCTGCTGGATGCTAAGCATTGTGATGGAACTGAGAGGCACATCAAATGCTCCTCCCTGCCAGTAATGATGGAAATAAAGCAGGAGCATAATAATCGTTAAACAACCAAAGGTTAGTCCTCGATGGAGTGGATGTATCTCTCGTATGCTGCCTCGTCCATTAGAGCGTCGAGCTCAGCGGGTTTTGCGATCGTCATCTTCATCAGCCAACCTAAAGGAAAACAGGGTAAGATGTGATTCAACAATGAACGGGCTGAGACATGAGTTAAAAAATATCCTTTCACTATGCAAAACAATAAAGTTCTTAAAATATATTTCAAGAAATTAAGAAACCCAAGAGTTGTTTTAGTTGGCATCACATTTTTAAAATTATAAGTAATTATATAACTACACTGCATTGTTTTTATATAAAACTGGCTTCATTTAGGCATTTTTTAGGAGTAAAAAAGGAAAGTTTTTATTATTAGTAGTAAAATGATATACTTGTACAATGCTGCCATCTATTGACCAACAAAAGAATTACGTGGCCTCGAGAAAAACAGTATTTACTAAAAGCAACATTTGCTTTTTTGAGATGCATATGAAATATATGTTTTTTTCTTTACCTGAACACATGCAGCAGTATTACCTAAAGCTAAACTGTCAGGCTTGTGTTTCAGAAAGCACATTCATCTGTTCAGCTGAGCTATTCTTTAACTAAATGCTCCAGTGTTATGGACTGGTGTTTCACATCTAGAGCTAAGTAACAATTTAGGAATTACACACATTGAAAAGAAACTGTGCAACTCAACATACTTTTTAATTGAACACAAGAACTGTCTCCTTTTTTACAGAGCTTAAGGCGTCAGCTAGACAGAAGTGCAGTATCAGTCTGTGAGCAAACTCACCATCTTTGTAGCAGGATTTGTTGACCAAACCGGGGTTGTCTGCCAGTAGTGTGTTGACCTCTACAACTTCTCCAGTCAAGGGCGAATAAAGTTCACTTGCTGCCTTGACACTTTCCAGAGCTCCAAACTCATCTGAGAAAATATGCACATATTTGTTTTTTGTTTTTTTAGAATTATTTCCATATCATAGCTGTAGGGAAATCCCTATCCAGTAGCCCATTTTGTAAACCACATGCTAAAGCATAGCACAAATAAAATGGTCTTACTCTAATAAGTTAAAACAAAGCTATTTAAATGAATGGAACAAGAATATAAATGCAAATAAATAATTTTAAATAAAGTTTAACTTTGTTTTCTATTCTGAATTATTTGCACAGTAAATAATTTAAAAGGATAAATGGTTCTATTTAAGAGACATTTCTGAGTTTATGTAAGTTATGCATATATTAATGACTTATTCATTAAACTGTGCCACTGAAGCTCATTGATATAGTTTAAAAGCAATATGTCGCGTTCAGATAATTGACATATCTAAACTAAAATGGCTCTTTTAAGAACCAGTATTATAAACATGGCTGATAGCAACCAGTCATTTTAACCATTTACCAGAAAATTCTCCCTGCAACAGAAAATTTGAATTTTTCTGGCATATTTAGCTGGTGTTTCCTATGAAGCAGTAACATGTGATGTTTAAAAAAAAAAAAATCACCGCTAAGACTATCCAGTGTTTGCAACTGGGTTCACAAAACCATGTAGAAAACTTCATACCCTGCTGGGCAAGCTGTGTTCCCACCTCTGGTAGCCCACAGTAGACTACATCTCCCAACGCCTCCTGCAAGTGATCGACAACACGGTCAAAGATCACTCTGAAATCATTTACTTCAGGGCATGTGGGAAATTGGAAACTTACTTGTGCAAAGTTGCTGATGCCGACTGTACCTGTTCCGTTATCTTCTACTCGAATCCATTCGTGTTTGTCTGTGAATTTAAGTGCTGTAAGACAAAACAACAGACTCTGTAGTCTTTGGTGCATGTGTTAACCACACATGTAGCAGAGCTGACATTCTAGCATGTCCTTCCCCCCCCTCCTGTTGGTGCTGCTGTGTAGACTGTGGGCTAACGTGCTAGTCTAAACAAATCCAGGGACAAATACCTGCTGATAATCGGCTTGAAGAAGCTAGTGTTCTCCCATTATAAGCTGTAGGTGCCAGTCTCAGAGGAGAGAGCAGCGGTGAGCGGGTAAGTAAGGGCCAAACTGTGGAAAAGTTGGAAGAAAATGAGCGGAACAAACCACAGGCGGCCATCTCTGCCGCTATCTGATGAGCGAGGGACTTACTCTGCGGTGTGTTTAGAGGCGTCAAAGGCGCTTTGCTGCCATCCACTGGCCATGGTTGAGATACAAGTAAACATTTTTTTTAAAGCAGTTCTAAGGTTTCTTTATGGAAACAAAAAAATACCTAAAGTAGATAATTGTATTTTTTTTATACTGATGTATTAAATGGTGCCATATATCTGCAGTTACAAGTGTAAATTTTACCTTAAAATTTTGCAACCACCTATGATGAAAACATAGGTGGCTGATTAAATATTTGAAACACGATTTCAGAACTTATTTTACACTCCTCATTACTGCAAATTGGATTTGAAATGCTTTTTTTAAAATTAAAATCTAGTTTCATTGCAAATATTTAGTTGATTACTCTTGTTTTATTTGATACTTCGTATCAAAATCTTAGATTTAATTCCAATTTCATAGAAAACTCAATTTATGATAGGTATTTTTTTTCCCCATTTCAAATTCCCAAATCCAACCTTAATGCAATTCTTCAGATTTGAAATTCCATGTTAGTAAACAGAAATTTTATTATTTTACATATTATATATATATATATATATATATATATATATATATATATATATATCCACTGTAATGAACAGTTGTGTGTGAAATCAAAGGGAAAACCAGCAGCGTTCATCAGGCTGCTGTTAGGGATGCTTATTTTAGAACTAACCATTTTCTATACTCGCTTATTCCTTGCAGGATTACAAGAGATTGGCGTCTTATTTCAAAGTGAACAGACAAGAGTGTCAACTCAGAGTCTTTGGCTTTGTGGGCCTTCCTGTGTTGGATTAGCAGGTTCTCCCAATGCCTACCTTACATGGTTTTACCCACAGAACACAAACATGCATGTTAGCCAAATAAAATGTAAATTATTTATTAACACATTTTTTCATACAAAACAATAGAATATATAAAGAAAAAATCCCTCTCATGCCTGGGAGTTCTACTATTGCTTACAATTGCATTAGCTGAGGAAATACCATGTACATTAAAAAAAAATAAAATAAAATAAAACCATAAAGCATATTTTCACACAACCTCACACTCCCTTTGTCCTGTTCTGGCTTTATATGCTATGCTGTAAAACAAAATAAAACACAGAATGACTAAAAGTGTCCTCCCCTACACCTGGGCTAAAAGCTACCAACATAAATAACAAAAAGCACATTTGTTTGGCTTTTATTTTACACAGCTTTAAGAGTCCATCCAGTGTCCACTTTTTGATTTTTTTTCTATGATTGTGAATATGAGCAACAAAAACAATAATGACAACACTGATAACAGGAAATAGAAACGACAGCTCGCAGAGGAGAAAAAGAGCAAAGACAGATTGGGTTTGGTTCATTTCCTCCACTAGAGCTCATTGGAAGCTTGCTGGCCCGTATTGAAAAGCGTGTAACATGTCTGTGTTAGGTGCCTCCTGTGAGTCGGGGTGCTGCGTACTGCTGGACAGGTGCGAGTGCTGGCGGTCCATTGCAGGGAGAAAGAAGGGGTTGGGGTAGGGTTTGGGGGGTCTTTAGTCTCTAAAGTCCCTCTCCTCGCTGCAGGAAGGAACAGCTGGGTAAGGGAACGCCAAGAGGCTCATCTTGGTCAGGTCACCACCGTGTTACCACAGACACAACACACACTCCTTGGCTTCTCAGTCAGCCAGAACCAGACACCCCGGCTGGATTTTAGGTGGCTTGCTCTTCACCGCCGGCTTCCTGCTTGGTGCGGCGCAGGTTGCCCTTCATCTTCACAAACTCAGGGGTGTTTTCCTGCTCCTCCTGAATTTTCTGCTGCTCCAGTTCAAGCTGGGCGACGGAAATGAAGAAAGCAAATAAATCAGTGTACCATTAAAAATGAACTTGGAGTGGTAGAAAAAAAAAAAGAGTGATATGTTAGAAGATTTACCTGCTCTAGTTTCTGTTGTCTTTTCATGAGCTCTATTTCCAGGTCGCTTCTCTTCTTGTGAGCCTCCTGCTCCTCCTTTTGGGCCTTGATAACTTGTTCTCTCTTCCTCTTCTCTAGAACCTTCTGGAGCTCTGGCTTGTTCTGAGGAGCAAGGCCCCTTTACAACAGACAGAGAGAGCAGCGAATCACTAAGAGACAACATGTTTCACGAAACAAGCTTAAACAAATCTGTGGTACTACAAGCTTATGGAATTTCCGGAACGCATTTAGGGGGCGATTTTCTGGGAGATTTATTCAGAACAGATGAACATCATGACCTCGTTCTAGTTAGCAAACTATATCTGTGTTACATCATCTGGATTACATGACGATCATGTCTCCAAAAAAATTCTGATTTTAAGGCAATTGGAGATTGTGTCCGAGAAACAAAAGTATTCACACCCATTCAACTCTTTCACATTTTATTCCACTAACTTCAATGTGTGTTAGAGGGATTATATGCATTAAAAAAGGTAGCATATAATTGACATGAATAAAGACAATATATTGTTTTTCAGAATCTCTGACTAATTAAATCTAAAAAATATGAGGTTCATATTTACTCCCATGAATCGAGTTTTTGTAGTATGTCTTCATCAGCTCTACAAATGTAGAAAGTGGTGGAGGTAAACATTTACACACACTATAATTTTCAACATTTTACTCGTATGAAGAATTTTTTTTTTAATGTGCATTCTTTTTCTTCAGCTTTACAACTAGGCATTACTTTGTGTCGTCACAATAAATCCTGACATAATACCTGAAAGTCTTCAAGTTGACAAGTAACAAAACACTCAAAGGTTCAAGGGGTATGACTAGTTCTGCAAGGCACTGTAATTGCTTGCTTGCATACTGTAAACTATCCTCCCATTCTCTCAAATAAGCTGAAGGGAAACTAGAGGGATTGGTGCATGACTAAGAAAGAAGATAGAGTCATCTTAAGAAAATGTGAGATCGTTTTGCCAAGAGGAACAAAGTTATGTAATCTACCAAACTTCTCCAAGTTAAATAAGTGGGGGAGGAGAGCTGAGATTGTTAAACAGAAGAATAAGGAGAGAGACTGACTGGAAAAGAGAAAAAGAACACACAAAACTCCCACAGCAAAGTCACTTCTTACTGTGACAGGCTGTGCTTCATACTACTCCACCCTTCATTTTAATTTAAAAACCTTCTGATTCAGATGATCGGACTTCTCTCGTGACCGTTTGCTTTCTGAACTGAATCCTGACTGAAAGTCTTCCTACGTGCCCCACAGTACAGCACCAGCAGCATCTTAAAATGCATGATTAGATCCTACGGATTACATAACTGGGCTCAAAATGTTCCAAGATGCAACGGGAGTTAAATTACAAAAAGACATCACTTTCTGTAGAGTCACTGCTGCAGTTAATCTGCCTGTTTTTTTTGTTTGTTTTTTTATGTCTTATGAAAGCACTTAGCAACGCTGCGGCGAAGCAGACGATAAAGAGACGTGACTGGGCAGCTTTAAGGTTTCCAGTACAGACTGTAACGATGCTTACATCACTCTGCTTTTACATAATCAGTAGCTGTTCAACCCCCCCCTTTCCCACCCACACCCTCATCCACATGCACATCTCCTAACAAAAAGAGACACGATTTCTGACATTCTCACACATTGCTCTTTAAGGGTTTCCGTGGGGTAGGGTCACTGTCGCCAAGGTAGCAGAGGCAGAGAAAGGCTCTCAGCTGGAGACTGTTTTGTAATCTTGATTACATAACATGTTTTTTCTTTTCTTTTTTATCCATCTATCCATCCATGCATCCATCCACGCACCCCTCCCTGCCTCTCCTCCACACCATCATCACTATGACTAATCCACTGTGAAAGCAACATTTCTTTATATTAGAATGTGCTAAAAGCTCAATCAAACCATTTCAACTCCCCCAGAAATCGCACTTCAGCCCGTCTAGACCCATACAAACAATATTCTGCACCATTTAGAAAGTCAGCTTAGTATTACTATTTTTCCCCCCACTACATCTTGATGTGATCTCATTGTTACAAATTGGATCCCAGTCTTTGACCTGTTCATAGACAGAGCAGGGATGCTGTGATGGAGCAGCTGTCAGCATCATGAGTATTTACACTGCTATTTATAGCTCAGGCACAAAGTGGCCACTGCTGCACGGTGAGAGAAAAAAAAAAAAAAAAGAAAAACATTCAGTGCTGATAGGATGATCACTGGCGCTGGAACATGTGCATTTACATTCACACAGATGGGCGCTCATATCGCCTTCAAACAACAAGCAATCAGGTGCTTTTGAATTTGCGTGGGACTTTTACATAACCATTTTTGACAATATTTTTGTTTTATGTAATACTTCTGGTGAAAGTTTTGCATACTAAGCCAATTAATGATGCTGCTGGAGGTTGAATCAGTGAGCTCAGCCAAAGTGACACAGCAAAAGCATCAGCTCTGTCTGCAGATGATTAGAACACCAGCAGGGATGTCAACTGGATTCAGTTAACGTCCCTGCTTCATCTTTACTCCTCCATTAGTAAAGATGAAACTAAATTAGTGAGGATCTGGATGCAGTCTAATGTTTTTGGGGGGTTTTCCCCCCCCCGTTTTGTTATTGTTACGGTATTACCAAGGTAACGACCAGCTAGAAAGTTTTACTGAGCCATAAGTGACTAAATCACTATCTTTAAAATCCATGGGACTCACACTTTGATATATTTTATTGCAGTCACAAACTGATAAAAACTGTTCCTACCCACAAGCAAACAGATAAGAATGAGGGCATTAGAAAAACAAAGGGACTGGAAGATTATTTATTTATCTCCTGACCTCTTTTGGTTCATAATAAGCTCTCTGTGTAGGTCCTGGTGGTTTCGGGAGCTCTTGACTGGATTAATCAGCTTTTTGGGTTGGATGAGCTCATCACAGTCTCCCTCCAGGTAGTCTGGTTCTGCCATGACACTCCTTCCAGGACCACACGGATCTGCAGAGACAGAGGACAATGAGAAAATGACACGTTGTGACAAGTCTAGCTGGGAAACGGATTTAGATACAGAATAAAAAAAGCAAACTCATATTAGCAATTTTTGGACATTAAGGCTTTGTGTGATTATAATATAAATTGATAATAAGATTTAAGATATACTGATAATAATAATAATACTTTTATTTTAAAATATACAGACTTTTTTTAGTTTACATTTTTAAAGTTGAGCTTTCATTTTTGTTCATTTAATACAATAAACATAGACCTATATAAATGGAATGAGTATTCAATAATCATGCTCTCTAACAAACCAGAATCCTGCAACCACATCATAGCAACCATTGTGTATAAATATCGGAGAGAAACCCCCTTTTTTTAAAAATCAACAATCTTTTCAAATCCTAATGGAAAACTGTTCCGAAAACTCTGACATAAGTTTCTGAATTGACATCAGGGGACTCGGTGATGACATTACATAATTGTTCCAGACTGAGTGAGGTTGAACATTTCATTCTCCTGTCATGTGGTAAAAGAAACATCTGCAACACAACAGATTTACCCAGACAGCACAGAATCAGATACACATACATTTTGATGCAGGTTTTAAACACTTCAGATGTGGCTTACGGACCTTTGGCCAAAACGTTAATTAAACTATACAAAATAAGGGCTATTTATTTCCCAAATATACATAAATATTAAAATATAAAGATTTGCCCAGGAGCCATAATTAACAGTTTTATTCTTTAAAAAAAAATCATTTAAAATAAAAGTTTTTTGTCCACTTTCAGGAGGAAGTTATGCAATTTAACAGTTACCGACACAGCTGGCGTGTGGGAAATTGTTTCTCATTAATTTATTCATGAAACATGATATAAACAAGCAAGGGTAAGTTTTACTGCAAGTTGGATTGCTGTCCTTATCAGAGTGTACTTAACCTCCCAATTTATTACTTTTTATTGAAGCTACTGTTTACACATTTTAAATCTGGACAGATGGTTCAAAGATGCTTATGAAACAGCAAAAAGTCAATTTCCTCCTTTAAAATGTATTAAAGCGTCACAAAAGATTTAAGAAATCCACTAATAAATACCACAAAAACAAAGTGTACAAACTGTACAGAACTGATTTCTCAAGTAACTCACCCTGCAGATGAGGGAAGACAGGATATCTGAACATGGTCGCCATCCTGGCTTATTCTGATTAAAAATCTGTTTTCCAGGAAAAGGAATTAAAGCACGTCGTGCTTGTCAGAATGTTATGAGCCTCGCGTAGAAGCAGAGCTTCGTCCTGCACAGCTGTCTCTGACTGAGCTGCTTGGAGTCCAAAGTCTGTTTTATAGCTAGTTCTCTCTCTCTCCGCCTCTCTCTCACACTCATACACACACCAACACACACTCCGTCTCCGCTCCCGCCCTCATTTGTTCTGTCCCCTTCACTTTCAATAGACATCGCTACCAATCAATAAGGAAACTATTTCTGTTTCCTTATTGATGAATGAGTCATTGATTTATAGCACAAAGAACTGTTGGTGAGCACAATACCGGATATGGTATGATTAAAAAAAAACCTTTTAAAAGAACATTTAGTCTAACAGTGGCTTTATAGATCAGATGGAGCCATCTTTCATTAGCAGACAAAGTGATGCACATTTCTGTTCCCAGGCTGGCTGAGGAATCATTGAAAACCAACAGCATCCTTGTTGCCAGTGCTTGCGATTTCAAGATGTTGCCTCGTCATGCAGCTTCTGATAGGTCACAGTCTGTGACCGATAAGGACAGATTGAAAACAAACAGTGAGCGGGCCAATCACAGCCAGTTTCAAGATAACGCGTTTCACTGCACGTGCTGATAACAAGCATGAGGGGGGAGTGTATCCACAAATTCAAAACATGGCCTACATTTAGAAGACCAGCGTATTGATACACAGAAACCACTAGAGGTCAGTGTCACTGCATCACTGCAGCTAAATCATGTTGGTTACATAAGAAAAAAAGGCCAACATGAACAAAGCAAGGTAAATTATAATATTATTCTGGACAGAATTTATGCTGCGAGGAAAAACAACATATTTCAGTTGGTCATGATGATTTTGTGGTTTCTATGAAATGTCTTAAATGCCTCAGTCAGAAATCTTCTGATGCATTTTCAGCAAATTCATTACATAAAGTTTTTAGAAACTATATAATAGAAGTAGAAGTGGTGGAACCTGAGCTTCATCACTCCTCAGATGCACCTCAGGCTTCAGCTAATGGCTTAGTTTAATGGACAACAAAAAGCCAAAATAAATCAGATGTTCAAGCAAACTGATGTTAACTTCAATAAATAAAGTGTAGAAAATGTCTATGATTTCCAGCATGCATGGAGACAGATATTGGTAAAGCAAGAACAAATGAGAGCAACTACTTATGCTGTGTGTTAAGTTTACATCTGAAGACAGGACTAGAGAATGCATCCAAAACAAAAAAATCAAAAAAATGACAAGGTTTTAAAAATGTTTGACAGGACGGCACAACTTAGAGAAAAAAAAAAAACAAACAAACATGCTCTTTACCAATGCAACACTTGTAATAAAACTTTGGGAACCACAGCTTTAAATCATAAAGGTACGACTCTCCACTTGTATTACTATGTTTAGAACATAGTAATAAAAACCAGACATCTCAACTCTGTAATTAATAAAATAAACAAGACTGCCTCTTTGTATTATGAGACATTGTGGTCACAGGATAAACTGAGATGGTGAGGATTTGTAGGAGCAGTTCATTAAGCTGTGAAGTACATGCTGGGTGGTTTGTGCAAATGCAGAGGGAACTTAAAGACCAGTAGTGTTGTCACGGTGTCTGTTATAGCGTAACACATCTGCTGCTACTTCCTCTGTGCCCCAGGAAGAGAGAGGAAGTAACATAGGGAGTTCAAAAGGAACATGCACCCTCAAATTGGAGCGATGCTTAAAGCCAGACTTATAATTAGATGTTTAACATGTTTTATTTTATGTCCCTGTTGGTGCCCCTTAGCCGCTAGAAACAGCAAAGTCCATGCAGACAATTTTTGATGGCTTCTTAAGGCATACAGTTTTTTTATGCTTTGTGATGTTTTAAACGGCAACATGTCCCAGAAAAATTTATATTTGGAAAATATAATTTCATTCCACTTCTCTGAAACTCAATCCATGCATTAAATAAAGCTATTTATGATGTACATAAAACTGCAGACGTTGTGGGTGAAAGATTGCTTCAGTTTCCAGGATTCCATTAAAACAGATTGTTTATTAGTTTTGAAGACACACCCTAACTACAGAGACAGACAAAAACAGATAATGAGGCTTTCAAAGGGACTATCTCCAAGATATCCATGAAGAAGATAATTTGGATAATTTACTATGCTCGAGCAGTCAGAGATAAGACGAAATGATTTGTAGGTTAAACCAATAGAAACCAAGAAGAAAAAGTGGGTCAGTGAGTCCAGAAAAGGAAGTTTAATGTCAAACCCTCCCTTCAGTCCTCCAAATGCTTGACTGAGATCTTGTTTAAAACTTTAGAGTTTAATGATAGAAAATATCCTATTTTGAATACCGCAAACAGAAGTAGAAGTGGAAAAAAACTGTTACAAAACGTTCATCCAGACGTGTTGGTTAAATAACATAATTATTCTGTTCTTTCTGCATAAAATTAAAATAAAAAGCAAGGTTGTTTGATAGAAAATAAAGTAAATCAACAGTCGGTTTTGCATTTGTGGTTGTGTGAAAATATACCCAATGATTGCAGCCTGCATTAGAGCTAATAGAAGGGAGCGATCTTAGAGGGGCAGAGTGCCTGTGCTGTGCCAACTGATTGCATCACTTGTGGTTAGCTCAGCTGCATGAGCCAACAGCAGCGTACATTTATCATACAAGCTAATTTCTGTGCTTCTTAAAGTAGCGGTAGAAATACGGTACTGTTAATATTTTCATTCGATTTCACAGCTCTAAAGAAGAATGAGTGATAGCAACTGAGTCAGCTGCAATGTATGACTTAATAAATGTTAAACTGAAATAAGTGTCTTTAAAAAAAACAGATTTTAAAATGGCTATATTATTAGCTTAAAGCGTTTTAATTCTAGTGGTCAATTAACAAAAAAGATTAACCACTAGTTAATAATAAAAATAAAGAAATAAACGAATGAATATATAGAAAAAGCACCACCAGAAATGACCCTAGAACAGCTACAGATTACACCAACTTTTTAAGTGACTGTTACAGCTCTGATCATTTCAGTTTATTTTTATTCTGAGTAGCAGCTCATAAAATGAGTTCACTTTAAAGTGAAACATTGCCATTTGCACACCGCATCCAAACTCAGTGACTGATGTTTGATTCAATCAGATGGGAGGACTTGGTCCACAATTTTAAACCAATGTGAGAAAATAAAATAGTTATGAAGCAATACAGTACTTTCAAGATTATTTTAAAATACTTAGAAAACATGTAATACGAACTGTCTTTTTACTTCCATGCAGTTTAAGCACACTTCCTTAATTAATTGACTCCTTTGAAGACTACTGTCTGATCAGCGCAGCTCCAACACTTCAGCGAGGGCCATAGCAGACACTGTGGAAGACTTAATTTGCCTAATCTACCCCACAGATTAAACGTCAGTGCAAAATACAAAAGGTTCTGAGCTGATGTAATCGTTTAGCTTATAAAATACCCTGGAGTCTTCAGCTTCTTGGAGTAGGCCAAAAAAGTCCTTATAACTTTTCATGCCTCAACCAAAACTTTTTTTTTTTTTTTTAACAAGACTTACTAACATTTCCTCTGGGAAGTGAGAACATTATATAGTTGAGTAAGTTGTGTGAAAAAAAGTGATTTTAAACTGCTTCAAGGATAATAACAGTATGCTTAGGGAAGCAAAGCAACTCGGCATTGACTCATTGAAAATATACCAATGTGGCACCTTCCCACACTTTTGTGCATATATATATATATATGTTTTGGACATACTGCTTTTTTAATTGCAATTGATCCTCTCTGTATCTCCCTGTAAGATCATGTGTATGACTTAAAAGAATGAAAACAAAACTAAATCAATAAAGTATCTCATGATTTTCTGTCTAAATTTTTAACTGAACAGGAGTCTCACCTGTTCATCATCCACTGAGAATATTCCTCTATGTACAATGTCCCTTTTACTTAAACTAAAAGTAGCAAAAAGTGGGAACTCACACCATTTTCAGCTTGTTGACATCAATCAACAACAAACCATTTCTTAATTTTTTAAATTGAATTGAAAACCGTATCAAAGTACCTACAGTACATCTTTATCTTTTAAGTGCTGTAGACCTCAGGGGAAGTGAATCAGTAAGTCAGATGTCAAAGAAAACCGGACATCATTATCTGCCTGTTTGGGGCATCTTCACCAAAAACAGAAACTATAGGATCCATCTTGAGCTCTGCAAGTACATTGATAAGAGTGCTGCATGACATTAGGCAAATATAGCATTATCATTGTGTTATTACATTGTGCCACGATGACATCAATAGATGCAAAAGATCACGCAAATTGAAAAATCTAACAGAAAAGCACAATTTTAATGCATGGCATTTGAAATAGAACTTTTCAAACGTCACTTCCTAGTAAATTTAATTTGCAGTTTATTATATTGTGCAACTCTAATTGATGCCATGTTTAGTTGTAAAACTTTAAATCACTTTGGAAAGTAAACTGTTAAGTTGGGATAATGCACATCGTGAGCAAATCATGGCTGCTTAAGTCTGTATCCATAACACATTTAGAGTTGCACTGAGATCCAATTCAACCTGCTAAACAGAAAGTTTTACAGGGTGGCAGAGGTGAGTGATATAATTTTCATTTAAGTCTTTTGTATTTCTATGTCCATTCTGAAACTGATGAATGAAACATACAAAAAGCCACTCTTTGCTCTCACAGATTATCCGTGATTGGAAGGAAGGCTAAAAAAAAAAGATGGAGATGAGAATCTAGACTGGCCATATAAAAACTATGGAGACACATGGAAAGAAAGTTTCAAAAGTCGACCAATAGGAAGAAGAAGCAAGAGAAAATAAATTATATGAGGGAATTATGTTAAGATCTCTGCCAGGGTAGGCAGACAGGGAAAAAGGAAAATACAAGGCCAATATTGGCCTTATATTTGTCTTTCTCAGTCAAAAATGACCCCTTTTTTCTTCCTTCTACAGATTTCCAGAACAGAGAAGATCAGGGTAATGAGAGCAGTTTGTGTCCCTCTTCACCATCTGAGCCCACAGTTGTCTTCAAGGATACAGGGACAAACAGAACAGCAAAGGGTGGGGTTGGGCAGTCAGCTGT